TAGGGGGTGCGTTTTCAGGTATGACAAGGATGCCTGGACCACCTTATTTTCTCCTCAGGGTTCTCGGGACAAAAAGTTTCGTTTGGGTCTTGCTAAAGAAATGCTTGATTGGGTTCGGCAACCGCTTCACCTTCGCCTTCAGTAGCCATCGGCTTTGTCTGGCGCAACCCAGACACACATTCGCTATCGTACTGCGCCCAGCGGGGCTACCTTTACTTTCACCACGGACACCTGTTACTCTCAGGATCTGGATTTGATTGGGAATCAGATTCAGCCGACTGTCCCCCTTTTCTTTGGATTCGATCGCCACGCCTTAGATCGTTTGGCTCGGAAGCGTCTGGTTAAGATGGAAACGAAGCCCGCGCTTACCTCGAATGAGAAGAAAGTCAAGCTGCAGAAGAAGCTCGAACAGAAAAAGGAGGACCAAGCAAGGACAGTCGAGTTCAAGAATCAGGGTCTCAAGGCCAAAGCATCCTCCAGTGCTGACCCTCGCGAAGCCAGGAAACTCCCCACGCCGCCCCCAGCACCTGTGCACAGGGGAGACTCTGCGTCTCGGAGCCGTTCACCGATTGCCAGGAAGATGCAGTACTCAGGTGGGTTCAAGAAACAACTGCAGGGTGGCGGGTCGGGGTCGAAGCCCGAGTCGGATGATGCCTTACCAGAGACGCAGGACTACCGTGGGGAAACACTTGTCAAACCTGTGGGCGGCACTACCTGGGAAGTACCGTCTTCGGGATCACCAGACTCCAGGAGTTCCTCTTCTGGCTCTGAAGCGGAAGTCGACTCGCCTGACCGAAGGTCGCAGCCTGCTCCAAAGAGCTGGGAACAGGATAAGAAGCCCTGGATCAGCAAGTTGGGCCCTCCAGTGCTGAAGTCTCAGTTGGAGTACGATCACTCAGGATGCCCAATTTTTCGCCCCAAAGGGCGGCACAGACCACACCAGCTCAAGGCGTTACATTATGGCTTTCGTTCCCCAGCTTACAGGTTTGAACACCTTCAAGGCCAAGGTCGGGGAACACTTCCAAATCATCACAGTTCGTGAGCTTACACCTTTCATTATCGACAATCAAGGTCCACTGGTTTCAGACAGTATCCCAGTTTTGGGAGAGCACGGCTATCTCACTACCAGGGACGTCACGAAGATTCTCTGGCACTTTGGGCTCAACACGTTTCGTTCCAAAGATATTCATTTGTTCAATGCGCGGTTTTATACCAAAGAAGCGTTCATTGGCCCAGAGGTCTGCCCTAAGAAGGAGAGGCTACACGACAAATCTCAGATCTTCGCTGGCAGCTGCATTGTGGCACTCCTCTACGTCAAGGACATGTTTGAAGATGTTGGAGATCTTATCACGGTGGAGTCTGGCAATAACGGTGCCAATGTAAGGTGCCATCTGCTTTGCAAACCTCGTTTCCTGATGTGACCGAGGCAGATCAGAAGATACAGCTAAAGTGTTTCTTCCCTTCGGGTCCTCAGCTCTCTTCTCGGTTCAACTCTGGATCAATCTGGGATTACAAGGGCTTTCAGTGGGACCACAGGCCATTTCTCTGAGGCAGGGATTAAGTTCTGCTCTCCTCAACACGTCCGTCAGGGCCAAAGTAGTGGGGTCGATTCTTGCTCTTTGCCCGCAGCCTCGATGGGACATTTCTTAACTTGGGATTGCTTCGCTCTCAGTTTGGTCCTTCACTTCAGTTCAAAACGGGCTTGGATGGGATTGCCAATTTCATCACTTCGCCAGGATTATGGCTTTCGTTTCAATCTGGGAATGCTTGGGATTACAAGTGTCTCAGGGCATTAGGCCTCCAGGTCATTTCTCATGAGCTGGGACTGCATCATATTCTTCTCAATTCGGCTGACGGGGTTAAGTGGGGTTGTTTCTCACTCTTTGCCCAAGGCCTCGAAGTTTCAAGTTTCTTCTTGGGGTAGTTTGGCGATCAGTTTGCTCCTTCACTTCAGTACAGATGGGTTTGGCCTGGGATTGTTAATCTCACTTCGCTGGCCAGGACGATGACTGCCGTCCGATCCCTGATAAAGTGCATCTCTTTTCTCTATCTCGCCATCTTTTGAATCCACATCTTTCGGTTGTCCTGATGTCCTGGCTGCCTTCTGTAATCATTTTGGTTCAATTCGCTTTGCCCGTTCTGCTCCAACCTCTTCTCAAGTTATCTGGGAACACACTCTCATGCTTGCCCCTCAGAGGGTTGTCAGGCCATGGAATTCAAAGTCCCTCCAGTGCTGTATCTTCGAGGCGTGGGCATCCGCCTGCCCACGTGCACTGGCAATCGAAAGTTCCGAGATCGTTCCTGCAAATTCAGGATCATACAACCCACGGAAATGCGTCACACTCCACATGTATGAGAAGGGGCGCGAATTCGAGATACCTCTCAGGCAGCTATGGAATCTCTTTGAGGAATTTTTCTCAAGTAAGGCATGCAAGGACCTTATTGGGATCGTGGGAATTGCAGTACGCTCTATGTCTTTTGTACAGATCAAGACAATGTCATACAAGGGCGCAGTGTTCTACGACAACCGCTGGTCAGATCCTGGGAATTTCATTTACACTGTCTGGTGGAATATTTGGGGTCAAATGGCCAGGTATCTTCAAAGACGACAACCTACCAGTGCCTCGTCCAAGTCCATGGAGGAGCTTCGCTCAGTCGCTGGTCGTGTCACCGATGTACAGAGGATGGTCCGAGAGCGGTGGAACAGGGAACCCGACACTTCTCGATGGCTAGAGCTTATTGGAGATTTGATGGAGCTAGGGTTGGGAGCGGGGTATGTTGACCCAGATCGGTTCTGGAACATAATTCAGGGGATTTCTCCCATCATCTGCTCCATTCGGTCTATTTTGACGTTTGCTGATCAACATGGGTCTTTTGCTAGGACCGGGAAAGACCGTCGCCTTTTTCGCGGCCCATGTGCACCTCACACTCGGAAGTTTGCCGTGGCAATGTTTCACGGAATGCAAGTGCACAAATTTAATGTTACGGAATCTTCAGAGGTCTGGGTATCTTACCTAATTGCGGCCTCAGAGAACAGGCTCCAATACTAATGGAGCGGGGGTATCTGACACCCCACGGAATTTGCATTTGGGTCTGTATCGAGACCTCTTTGTGTTCTCCTCTCCCCTCTTTGCCTCCCACCTCGGGGATTGGCTGGCACCAGGAGATGTCACTTGTGCGATTCTATCTGGGACCCGCCTGGTCCATGCGATCTTAGGGACACCGTGGCTTCGCAACAATCCCTCCTTCCTCGGGATGCCTCTGTGTTTTGGGACTCGAGTCTGTTTTTCTCTCTTGGGGTTTGGGGGGATGGGCCCCTCCCCTTCCCTTGCCTCCTGTCGGCTCCTGCAGTCTCGGGCTCAAGCTTTCGGTATGCTACTTCCCAAGGCGTCGGACCCTCACGTTATCTTTCAGGGGAAGCTTTGCAGGTCTAAACGCAAAGTCTGCTTCCTGTCTAAACAAGATCTTGAGGCACTCTCATACTGCTCTACGCTGCTATTCCAAAGGGTGGTCAAGTTGCCGGCTCGGTTTCTTATACCATCGGACCTTGGTGGTCCCCATTTCACATATGACTGGTGCAAAATCCCGCTTTTCAAAGCTTGTCGGGACAGCGGCTTTAATGGACTGTATGTCAACGTTCGGGGTCCCGACGAAAGGGTTCGGAGAGTCCCTTGGAAAGAACTGGCTGCTGGTCAGTAGCCGTTTCGCCTCAAACCCTGACGGGAACTCTCGTCCGAGACGGCTGGGAAACATCCATATCCAATTCCAGGGGATGGCCAAACGCAGCCTTCCAGTCAAGCTAGCCGCCAAGAAGCGTCTCAAGTGGACACACGGCTCAGGAGGAATGTGGAACTACTGTGAAGAGGAAAAAGTCTACACCAAAGTCTGGTATACGGAGTACTATGACACGTGGTTCGACCCCGAATCGGGCTGGCCTCACCCAGTTGTATGGTACCTGTCTGACTACTGGTGGGACGGAGACTTCTTTGTGGAAAAGTGGCGTTGGAAGTACCCGTGAAGGCCATTCCTGGGACTCCGACAGACTGAACCTCCTGGCGTCTGCGGTGCATGGGCCTGCGGCTTTTGGAGGACTCTCAGTATCCCTCAATCTCTCCTGCATGTTCTTCAACGTTGTTGGTTGGCAAAATACAAAAGGTTATAAACATTCCCAGCCATCTTGCGTCCTCCATACCTGTTTGAATTCAATCTTACTCCATATGTCTTGATATGCCTGGGGTGGGTTCTCACGGTTGAGTTCTCACTCGGCTTTGACAATCCATTTTGTATGCCTCCGTATCTTCTGGGTTCACTGCGTGCTTGGGACATTCAGTTTTATTTCAGACTCTCTTTCAGATTTTTCTTTCGTCTTGGTTGCTACTTATGTTTAATGGGTTTCATGGGACTCAATGGAAGATTTCTTCACTTCTTACTTACTTCAGACCTTGGGACCATATGCCCTCAAGATTGGCTTCAAGAGTTACTCAAGTCACTCAAGATATTGTTGATCAATTTGAGCATAATCCATTATCTTGCATTACGTTTCTCATTGTTCTCATCTTCATTCAAAGCAAGAGAGACCTTGTGGTGGGATTCATTTGGGACATCGGACAATCTGTCATTCATGATTTCTTTCAGTATCATGGGTTTCAATCCTGGGCTGGGCTTCACCTTACTTCTGCTTCATCCCTCTTCCGCCTCTCCTCCCGCTTCCCTCTTTCTCTACCGTACGCATTTGGCGTATTGGTGGCTTCTCAGGTTTGTGTTTTGGGAGAACCGACCTTTCAAGGCGCTTCATCATCATCATCATCATCCTCGGCGTCGTCACGCGCCAGCCCGGGGCGAAGTGGCAGGAGACAAGGTACGGGGCTAAGTGCGTCTGCAACGCCATCCTCCGGGCCGGCGGAAATACCATCAAGTGCTCCTTCTGGCGCCACCACGCAACGGAGCTTGCCAAGTTGGACTGAGGGGACTGCCGTCGCATTGTATTCGTCAAGCGCGAGGTCACCGCAAACGGGAGTGTGTCGTGGGAGCTCCGCGCCACCGAGGCCGCGCAGGTGGCCGAGTGCCCCGCCGAGCTGGCGCAGGTGTTGCTGGCGTCCGTGGCGGACAATGGCCCGGCGACTTCCCTCGCAGCTGCGATCGCAAGGGATTGCAAAACTTGCGAGACCTCCACAATGTCGTTGTCTGCGTTGACGGCGGTCATCGTGCCTGGCAACGCGCGGGACCTGGATGGAGTGTACAAAGCTCACAGCGTAGCGATCATGGGCGTCAGCACTGTCTTGCGCAACGAAGGCTTCGTCATGCGCTGTTGCTCGACGTGCAAGAAGCAGGTTCCGGACGGCGACCACGGCGTTTGCGCCGAGCACGGGGGGGGGCGCTCATCGAACCGCGGTGGATCTTCCAGCTCGAGTTGACCGATGCCACGGGCCACTGCGCTGCCATGCTCTACCACGACGTGGCCATGCAGATTCCAGGCTTCCCTGATCCGTCGACGGCCACAGACACTGAAATCCAGAAGTTCCTGCAGACGCTCCGCGCCGTCCCGTACTCCATCCGCCTGATTTACCGCATCAACGCGCTGCGCGAGGTGAACAATCTCGAGACCAAGCTGCTCCTCCCCACGCTCACCTCCGACGGCGTCGTCGGCTCCTGGCGCCTGGACCCGACGCCCATCGCCTCGAGCAACACTGCGTGCCCGTTCGCCAAGTGCACCTCCGTCGGCTTTGATCCGGACCTCGGCTTCGCGATTGTGGACGGTTCGACGGTCACCGCCGTGCGCCTCCTCGGCAAGTTCTTGGAGCTGGAGGATGAAGAGGAAACCACCGTGCCAGACACCGCAGGGCCTGCGTGTCACGCGGTTCACCACCTGCGCCCTCGAGCCCGTGGGCCAGACGGCGCCGGCGAAATACCGCTTCACGGCTGGCGGCCTATCCAGCGCCGTCCAGTGGCTGGTGCGCGCGGACGGCACCTTCTTCGTCACTGCCACGAAGCGCAAGAATGACGACACCTTCGTGGTTCAGTCGCACCACAAAGTGGCCGCGCAGGACGCGGCCATGTGGACGCAGTACATGACCAAGACGCTCGCGGTCCCGAAGGGCCCGCCGCTGACCTTCGGCCACGCCGTGACGCCCCTGAAGCGCAAGCGCGCCCTGGACGACGCGGCCGCTGCCTCCGCGGCCGCGGACATGGCAGTCCGCAGCCGCGGGCTTGTCGAGGCGTGAGATGCTGTTCCTGACGGGCGGCCCGCGCGCGCTTTTGCGCGCGCTCGACCCTCGGACGGAGTCCTAGAGGTTATTGCTTGATCTGGGTAGTCAATGGAGTTCCAGTCATGTGTGCGCGTTAAAAAAACACCGGCGCCAAACGCCGTCTACATCGCCCCAGACGCCGCCCCCCTTACACGACCATCATCATTATCGCTGCTATCTTCAATGCCCTCTTCTCCCGCCTCCCCGGCGCATCGGCGATCCTGCTCTTGCTCGCCCCTTCTCCGTGCCAGCTGCTCGCGCAGATGAACGCGATGACACCGATGACGATGGCGGTGGTAACGATGATGATCATGATGACGATGATGACGACGCTCGCAGAGATGCCGCCGCCGACGACGACGACGAAACTGTGAGGCCTCAGATTTGGGAGGCCCCGGAGGACCCCTTAGGCAAGTTTGAGGCCTTGAAAGCTTATGAGAGTGCGTCCTGAACAGCCATCCTCTCTTTCCATGCTGCTTCGCCTCCTCGCCGTCGCCGGCCCTTCCATGGCAATATACGAGTGTCACGGGCCTTCCGATCGTCTTTTTGCTTGCGCGCCCCACTGATCCTGCCGCCCCCGCAACGCCGCATAGATCCTTTTGGTTCCGAGGCGTTTCGCTTCTTCGCGCGGCCCGATCTACGCCAATCCTACTGCATCCGCTGCCCGGTCCTGGGCGCGCTTGTTGCAACCATGGCGGGGGAGAAGCTGATGATGCAGCCCAGCGAGTTCACTGGCGACGGGTGGTTGACCGGCCGGCCCGTGCTCGTCCGCTTGGTGGACCTCAACGCTGTCCAGGCCAACAAGGGCGACGCGTCGCAGCAGGAGCCCGCTGGGCAGTCAGGTGCATCGCAACCGACTCAGAAGAGCGCCAAGGGCAAGGGCAAAGGCAAGTGCAAAGGCAAAGCTTCGACCGAGTCTGGGGAGAGGCTTAAGTGCGAGGCGCACCTCTTGGGTGGCGATGGGATGGGCGAGGTCGCGTTTGTAGAGGCTTTCGGCCCGGCCGCCGCGGACTTGCACACGAAGGCCACCAATGCGAAGATCGATAAAAAGTTGCTGGCGATCTCCAACGTTAAGGTCATCCAGAAGCCCAACCAGTATTCCACGTCCCGGCTTCCGTACTACGTCCAGCCCAACACGTCCACCGGCTCCAAGAGCGTGGTCGAGACAGTCCCCGCGGAGTGAACGTGGGCTGCTATTCCCGAGCATCACCCTTTCCTGGACATCGCGAAGATCACGAAGGCTCAGTCCGACGTCCAGCATTGTGTCCTCGGCGTTATCACGCGCCAGCCCGGAGCGAAGTGGCAGGATTCGAAGTTCGGCCCCGGCTACGTTTGTAACGCGATCCTCCGGGCCGGCGACACCGCCATCAAGTGCTCCTTCTGGCGCCGCAACGCCACAGAGCTGGCAAAGTGGTCTGAAGGGGTTGCCGTGGCGATGTACCAGGTGTTCGTCAAGCGAGAGATAGCCGCCAACGGGAAAGTGTCCTGGGAGCTCCGCGCTCCCGAGTCGACGCTGATCGCAGAGTGCCCCGCCGAGCTGGCGCAGGGCCTGCTAACCTCCGTGACGAACGGCGGCCCTGCGACTTCCCTGACATCTTCGATCGCGAAGAACTACAGCACGTGCGAGACCTCTACGGTGTCGCTGTCCGCATTGACTTCGGTCATCGTGCCTGGCGCCATCCGGGAGCTCGACGGAGTATACGAAATGCACAGCGTGGCGGTCATGGGCGTCACCCCGGTCTTGCGCAACGACGGGTTCATCATGCGCTGCTGCAAGACCTGCAAGAAACAGGTTCCAGACGGCGAGCACAGCAAGTGTGCCGACCACGACCAGGCGCCCATCGAGCCGCGGTGTGTGTTCCAGCTCGAGCTGGCCGACGGCACGGGCCAGTGCGCAGCAATGCTCTTCCACGACGCCGCCATGCAGATCCCAGGCTTCCCCGACCCGTCGACCGCCACGGACGCAAGCACCGAGAAGTTCGTGCAGGCGTTCCGCGGCATCCCCTACTCCGCGCGCCTCATCTTCCGCGCCAACGAGCTGCGTGAGGTCAACAACCTCGAAGCCAAGTTGCTGCTGCCCACCATGACATCCGACGGCGTCGTGGGCTCCTGGCGCTTAGACCCGGCTCCAGTCGCTTCGGCCAACACGGCCTGCCCTTTCTCGAAATGCAGCGCGGTGACCTTCGACCCAGACCTGGGGTTCGCCGTCGTCAACGACTCAACGGTCACTGCAGTGCGCCTCCACGTCAATTTCCTGGAACCGACGGATGACGAGGAGACGACCGTGCCCGACACCGCCCACGGCCTCCGCGTGACGCGGAAGGCCACGTGCGCTTTGGAGCCAGCAGGACAGGCAGCGCCGGCGGAGTACCGCATCACGGCCAGCGGCCTGTCGAGCGCCGTCCAATGGTTGGTCCGGGCAGAGGGGGTGTTCTTCCTCGCCGCCGCCAAACGCAAGAGCGACGACACCTTCATCGCTCAGTCGCACAGCAAGATCGGAGATGTAGCCATGTGGGTGAAGTAGATGACAAAGACGCTCCAGGCCCCGACGGCACGCCCTTGGCCTTCCCCAGCACCGTCACGCCGCTGAAGCGCAAGCGGGTCATGGACGACGCCACCGCGCCGCCCGCCGCCGCGGACATGACATCCCGCAGCCGCGGGCTTCTTGAGGCATGAGGCGGCATTCCTCAAAAGCATGGCGCGCGGCCCTGCTCGCAGTCGCAGACAGCGGCCCCTGCTCGGCGCGGGACACCGTGGACCCCAGCGCCACCCCGCTTAGGCCACAATGTCTCGCGGCCTCCACGCCCGCGCCCGCGGCTCGCTCTCAGTCGAAGGTGCGCTATGTAAATGCCTTCTGCGTGGCCCGCCCGCACTGCGCGCGCGAAGGCCCCCGCTCTTGTGCTGTCGTTCCGATTTGCACTATCTTGGCCGCGTCGTGTACGCGAGGTGTTCCCCCAAAAAATTGCCTGCACATCGCCATCGCCAATTGCAGTCTTCGTCGCCCCCGTCACCCGGCCATCCTCGTCGACCCCTCCCCCCGCACCTCCGCCTCTTCCTCTTCCTCCTGACTAAGCCCGCGCCCTATTAAAACGCCCATGTGGGGAACTCCGTTAGCATAATTGTTCTCCCCCGTGTTTCAGCTTGCCAGTGGGCGCGTCGGCGGATCGGTTGAAGATTACCCCTGGGGCCCACAAAGAGGCCAAGATTCGGGGGCAGAGGCCCGAAAATGACAAGAGATTCGCAAGAGAGGGACAACAGCCCTTAATCGTGAGGCCCACCGATCCTGGGCCCTAAACTGCGCTGGATGGGCCATAACGCAAAGAAGCCTCATGGGAATCTAGGGAGTAAAACCAAAAAGTCCCAAAGGGAATCACAACAAGGCCCCAACCCGTAGAGAGTTTCGAGCATGATCGGCCCACGAACTTGGCAACGGATTTAGAACTGCCGGGAATAGAAGCGTTTCCAAGCACCTCAATTGGGCGATGGGCAACGGCAGTGCTGAAGATATCAATGGTGATGACGCTGTGCCACGGGCTGTGTTGCAATGCTCTGCGCTCGGCCGCGCCGCGCAGTGGCGTGCCAGTGGGCGAGCCATTGAACGTGCCAATTGACGTGCCAGGGGACGTGCCAACACGCCGCGTGATGTGCCAGGGGGGCGCGCCATGGAACGTGCCAGCGGACGTGCCAGGGGACGTGCCTGGGGACATTCTATGGGTCGCGCCGCGCGACGTGCCCAGGGGAGGCGCCAGGGAACGTGCCAGGTATCAATGGTGATGCTACTGTGCCAGGGGCTGTGTTGTGCTTCTCTGCGCTGTGCCGCGCCGCGCAATGACATGCCAGGGGACGCGACACGGGACGTGCCAATCGACGTGACAGGGGACCTGCCAAGGGGATTCGCCGCGCGATGTGCCAAGGGGACGCACCGCGGGACGAGCCAGGGGGACGCGCCACGGAACGTGCCAGCGGACGTGCCAGCGGACGTGCCAGGACGTTCCAGGGGACGTGCCAGGGGACTTGCCAGGGGATGCGTCGCGCGACGTGACCAGGGGAAGCGCCAGGGAACGTGCCAGGTACCAATTGTGATGCTACTATGCCAGGGGCTGTGTTGTGTTTCTTTGCGCTGTGCCGCGCCGCGCAGTGACATGCCAGGGGGCGCGCCATGGAACGTGCCAGTGGACGTGCCAGGGGACGTGCCAGGGGACTCGCCGCGCGATGTGCCAAGGGGACGCGCCACAGAACGTGCGGGGGGGACGCGCCACGGAACGTGCCAGCGGACGTGCCGGGGGGACGTGCCAGGGGACGTTCCAGGAAACGCTGCGTCCGCGCTCCCAAGACAACGATCCATTGTGAATCACGCGGCGTCCGCGCTCCCAGGGCTGCGATCCCTCGTAAATTACATGGGAGTCACGCCCTCAAGGCCACGGTCCCTCGAAAATGACATTGGATTCGCGCTCCCAGGGCAACGGTCCATCGGACATTACGCAGGGTTCACGCTCCAGGGCCATTATCCGCGGTAAATTTCACTGGGTTCGCGCTGCGAGGGCCACGCTCCCTCGTAAATTGCGCTGGGTTTGCGCTCTATGTAGAAGTGTAAGGCATGGCGACGTGTTCGAGACACCTGATAGGGCGACTGGCAATTGCATTGCTGACTGTATCGATCTTGATGCACAGTGCCAAGGGCTGTGCTGTGCTGCGCCGTGCTGGATGCCGATTTGACATGCCGCGATTGTGCTCTATAGCATTGTGGATCGAGTCCTCCTTTGCATTCGAGCCCTGACCGAGCTTATCTGGATCTTAAGCTAGAGCTGCCTGAGCACATAGTAGCTGTCCCAGAGCTACTGAAGTGGAAACGTGCTGGACGTTCAATCAACTCAACCTCAAATTCCGCATCAGCTCTGACAAGGAACGACAGGACATGGGGCACAGCACGTCAAGCCTGAACGTCGCACGGTGCGCGCCAGGAGACGCGCCAGCGCGCCAGGGGACGCCCAACGGACGGGCGGGGTTGGATTGCGGTGTGCTCTATTGCGACAAGCGTTTTGTTCGAGGCATCCCCAACACATCCTCATGTTAGACATTTGTCCTGGCGACCTGGAGACGTGAAATCAAGCGTACAGCGCGAAACATCCTCAACACATCTCAATTCATGTTATACATCCGCTTGGGCGACCTGGACACGTGCAACCAAGCGTCTCGCTCAGGATGTTCTCAACATTCCTCATGTTATACATCTGCCTGGGCAACCTAGACGCATGGAAACATGCGTTTCGCTCGAGACATCCTGCCCAAATCCTCATGTTAGACATCTGCCTGGGCGACTGGACATGTGAAACCAAGCGTTTTGCCCGACACATCCCCAACACATCTTCATATTAGACATCCGCCTAGCGTTTCGCTTGGTTCTCAACACCTCCTCATGCTAGGCATCCGCCTGGGCGACCTGGACACGCGAAACCGAACGTCTCTCTCGAAACATCCTCACCATATCCTCATGTTAGACATCTGCCTGTACGACCTGGACGCGTGAAAACAAGCGTCTCGCTCGAGGCGATCTCAATAAATCATGATGCTAGACATCTGCCTGGGCGACCTGGACATGTGAAAGCAAGCGTTTCACCCGACACATCCCCAACACATCTTCATGTTAGGCATCCGCCTAGCGTTTCGCTTGGTTCTCAATACCTCATGCTAGACATCCGCCTGGGAGACCTGGACACGCGAAACCGAACGTCTCTCTCGAAACATCCTCACCATATCATCATGTTAGACATCTGCCTGTACGACCTGGACGCGTGACATCACGCGTCTCGCTCGAGACATCCTCAAGACCTAGGCGCATGCAAACAAGGATTTCCCTTGTGACATCCTCTGAATTCTGGTCCCCACGAGAGGGACAATCTATAACACAAACAATGCGTTTCGCTCGAGACGTCCTCAACACATTCTGCAAACCAAGCGTTTCATTCGAGACTTCCGCGACAAACGAAACTATTAACTTTATCATGTGTTCTATCGATCTGAATTCCAAAAACCAGCGTTTCGCGCGGGACAGCCTCAACTTTTTCAGTCGCCAGCCTTACGCGACCTCGTTATGTATCGCAGAGTCACTTCGCCGGCCCTGCGGTAGTCGAGGCCAGGGGGGAAGCCATCCAAAAGGGAACCCTGGGCCCATGCCCTTTCCGGGACATACATATATATATATGTATATATATATATATATACATGTATTGTATTGTTTTGTTCGCCCAAATCATTAGGCGCGCCCTGTTCAAATCGAAGCCAGGGGTAAACGACTAAAAGATAGCTCTGGGCCCACGCCCTTTCAACCCCAGCCTTCACGTCCGAGGCTTCGCCCAACCAGGATTAGTTTCAGTGTTTAGTTCTTCGCTCCGCGGTTGCTCTGGATCGGTTGCCGCGCCACATTACCAGCCACAGGCACGGGGGCAAGTGTTGCGACGTCGTTAATGGAGGGATGTGCCCGAAGGGACAAATATTTTCATGACCTCGCTGTGAACCACGTCCACCTGGGCATGTGGGAGTTTTGTGGTCTTGTAATTTGTCTGCATGAACAGTTGTCCGTGTCAAGTCAAACGAACATGATGGGTTGGATTTCGAGGGGCGTTTCCCCTACATGAGGTACACGTCGTCGTGGGCGGGAACCTACATCAGTGGCAGTGGGCGCAGCCATCGTGCCCATGATGGCGATTGGCGATTCTTGCTCGCTGCGGGTGTGTGATCTTGCCCATTCCACAGTCTGCCGACTTGAGGTACTGCGCGATTGTGTCGCGGTGTTTCATCATGCGATGGTGGAGGGGGAAGGATGGAAGGAGGGGGAGGGGATCAGGGGGTGGAGAGTCGTTCAAGGGATTCTTTGACATGGTGTTTTCTGTGCAGATCGATTCTGTCATGCCGCTGCTCAGTTTGCAAGGGCGTCTGCTTTGTTCGGGCCCTACTGCTGCGCTGATGGCGACCTCCTACGATAGACTCGCCGAGAAATCCGCGGGGGACGTCGAGGCGGGAGCGAGGCCAATTATGTTCCGTTGTCTCTTTGTTTGAAACTGTCAGGTCGAGTGTGGATGTTGTGCTGAGTCGGCGCACCGATTGCTTCAGGCTTCCCCCTGGCCCCGGCCAGGGTGCCCAGTCGGGCATCTGGGCGGGAAGTTTGCGGGTTGGGAGACTCGGACGGGAGGATAATGGGTCATCTCAACATGGACATGTGTGTATGTATGGTTGCATGCGTGTATGTAGGTGTGTGGCTATCAGTCTCTCTCTCTCTCTCTCTTTCTCTCTTTCTCTTTCTCTTTCTCCTTCTCTCTCTCTCTTGTATTTGTTTATTTTTATATATATATATATATGTGTGTATGTGTATATATATATATATATAGATACACATCTGAGTAGGCCAGGGGGGGGGGGCAAAATCGGTGCCGTCATCCCCCATGGGGCCCCCCCCGAACCTTTGGGAGGTCACAGACCCCCTGGGAATGCCCCGGGCCGC